CCGTTATAGAGTCACATTGGGAATCTACTCTAATAGCTTCATTGCATGCTGATGATAGTCTGCTAGCCTTGGTTTTAAAATCTTGTATTGTCTGACAACTTGTTGTATGACGAGTTGTGAGTCGCCACAGATGGCAATATATGTTATATCCATTGAGATTGCCAACTCCAACCCGGTGATCAATGATTCATATTTTTTTTTTGTTATTTTTACACGGCTCTATCAGATGATAGGAGAATCTTAACATACCCTTATCTGGCGTTATGAAAATCAGACCAATTTCTACTTTGCCTGGTATAACCATTTCTGATCCTTTATCTTTTCTGGCTGAAGAAGTTCCATCAAAGTACATTTCCCAATGTCTGACATTGGACGGTTCTATTTGCAGTATCTGCTTATCTGGTAATTCATCATTGAGAGGGGAACTAGTTGGAAATGGGTGCGTTGTGAGAAAATCTGCTAAAATTTGTCCCTTAATAACGCGGAGGGGAACAAAAGCTATATCGAATTGTAATAAAATTATTGACCACCTTGTTAAACGTCTGGAAAGTGTTGGTCGGGTCATCAAATATTGTAAAGGATTAACTTTCAAAATAAGTGTAATTTAATGAGAAAGCATGTAATGCTTAGCGAATATTAAAGCTAGACAATGCTTCTCAATAGGTGGATACTTTACCTCCGTCTGTATTAGACGGTGGCTCAAGTACTAGAGCGCAATTTTCTATACCCTTATTATTGACATGAGTTAACAGGGCTCCGAGAGAGTCGTTTAAGGCCATGGTATAAAGTATAAAAGTTTTCGCGGGATAGGGGATACCAAAACAGGAGGTGTCATTAAGTTTTACTTAATGCCCTCAAAGGCCCGTTGACATTTCTCTTTCCAAATGAATTTGGCGTCCTTTTTAATTAATGCAGAGAAGGGATGACACCTACTTGAGAGATTAGAAATAAAGCGTCTCAGATATGCCAACTTTTCTTGAAAGGAACATAGTTTTTTCAAAGTTTTGGGAGGAGACATTTCCAAGATAGCTTTAATCTTATTCGTGTCGATCTAGATTCCCCGATGACAGACAAAGAATCCTAGAAACTTCCCGGAGGTGACACCGAAGGCACATTTTAATGGATTCATCTCGAGATTATATTGGCGTAATCGTTCGAACACGATCCTCAAATCGTACAAATGGTCTATTTTCTATTTCTTTTGATTACCAAATCATCCACGTAACACTTCACTTGGTTGTGAATGAGGTCATCAAAGATCTTTATCATAGCTCGTTGATATGTTGCTCCCACATTCTTTAACCCAATTGGCATCACTCTGTAGCAAAAAATCCCAATTGGTGTCTTAAAAGTTGTAAGTACCATGTCTTCTGGAGCCATCTTGATTTGATTGTAACCAGACGATCCATCCATGAAAGAGAAGATCTTATGTGTCGACGCATTGTCTACCATTAATTCTGGTATCGATAACATAGATTCATCTTTTGAAAATGCTTTGTTTAAATCCCTAAAGTCGACACATACATGGATTTGTCAATTTTTCTTCTTAACTGGTACAATATTGGCCAACCATGTAGGGTACTGCTCTTCTCTTACAAAGTTATCCTCTATTAATTTCTTCACTTTGCAATGACTTGTTCCTCTATCTTGAGGCATATTCTTCTGGGAGCTTATTTTACAGGGGTCATATCTTTGTCCACCCCGAGTTTATGCACTGCGACCTCTGGGGACAACCCTGGCATTTCATCATAACTTTAGATGAAGCGATTATTAAACTATGACAATAACTCTATCCATTTTGTGGATTCTTCCACATTGAGTAGAGAACTTATGAAGGTTGGTCAGGGTTGCTCCTTAGTCCCGAGGTTGACCTCTTTTAATTCATCAATAGTTTACTTAATCTCTTCTTCAAATTCCTGTGAAGTATCACCTATTAACTAATCTTGAGTGTCATCCTATGAGCCAAAATAATGAAGTTTTGAATTCTGGTGCATGATGCTCCAAATTGGCGTCAGATGCATCGAAGTGGTGTCAGATGCGCCAAAACTCAGAACAGTGCTGTCTTCAGCAAATTAGCGCATGATGCGCTTGATTTGCAACATATGTGCCATTTGACAGAGTTGGTGCATGATGCGCTAGATTTGACGCCAGATGCGCTGAGGATGACTTTTTGCAAATTAAAGCAGTTTAGAACAAATTTTGCGCGAATTTTCAAAGGGACACTTGTTCTAAACACCCCTTAGAGTAATTCCCCTTAAAACACCCCTTAGAGTAATTCAATGCATCTAGACACTTTGAAAGGTTCTTTTATGAAGGGATATGTCTTTTGAATCAATGGACATTTCTTTTGAATTCAAAATAGTTGACTTTTGGGCAGAATTTTGGAGGAATTTTTAATTCTTTTTGGAGGGAAGTCTATAGCTTGAAGAAGAGAATAAGGAGTCTTGGTGTGAGGGGCGTGAGGTGTGTGGAGTGAAGAAGAGTTAGAGAGAGAAAGAGAGAAAGTCAAGGGCTTGCAGATTATCTTCAAGGATTGTAAGAGGAGAGCGAACGTGAGGGATTTCTTCTTCATTACACTTCTAAGAGAGAATTGAATGTGCTTGTAATGAAAGAAAGGCTTGGAGAGAACTTCTAGGTGTTTGCTTGGGAAGAATTGTGAGATAAGTTGTCTTTTATTTCTTTTATTTTGTAAACTTATTTTTATATATGAAATTCATGTTTTGTTGTATCCTTCTCATAAATTCTGAGTAGTCTTCTTTATTCTTTTCTCATACTTTGAAGATATGGTTTTGTGAAGAATTGATTTTATTTTATATGATTTTAAATGTCAATAATTTGTGATGATTTAAACTCCGATCTTCATTTACTTTTCGATTTGGCTAATTGAAATGTTAAAATGTGTTGAGAAACATATGTTCTGAAAGGGCTATAATTTCTACAACATGGGGAGAATTGCATTTAATTTCATGGGATATTATTTAATCCATGGAATTGGGTGCAAATAAATAAGGAAATATACTTTGTTGGATGCATAATTGGGGATTTTAAGGTGATAGATTAAAATCCTTAATTTGGTCAAGCTGATGCGAGATTGTTAACCCTAAGGGGAGGGAGTAGTGGGAGCTCTGGAGTGCATCCAGTATCCTCCCAGCCAAACTCTGGATTAGCCAATATTCTTTATGCACTCAGAAGAGGGTGAAGAATAAGATTTCTCCTATTTGGTACAAAACAGTTTTTATATATATTTTCAAATGATTTTAATTTCTTCACAAATCATATACTCATTGTAAAGGAGAATGACACTTTCTTAAATTTGAACTTTCCGTCACAACATCCTAGTTATAATTTTCATAAATTTACTTCTGAAAGTTAACATTTACTTTAGTTAACTTTGTCTTTCGACTACATTTTAATTAGCATTCAATTGTTACTTAATATTCAAACATCACACTTTACTTTTTATATTTTTAAAATAGTATTTTACATTATAATCTTAAGAACTTATTTACAGACATTTCCAACTTCCTTGTGGGATCGATATCTAGGATTTCATTAAAGCCATTTATTACTTGAGCGATATGTATAATTGCATTATTTTTAAAGGGGAATTGGCAGTTTAAAGATTGCTAAAAGATAAAACTATTTTAATTGAATTTATTTTATTGGGATTAATTTGCATATTTGCTATTGTATCTATCGTGTGTATTTATTAATATTAAAAAATATTTACAAAACTAATACACTAAATCCATCTACATTAGTAGTCATATTAAAATCATACTAATTGGAATTTTATAAAATCACACAAGGGACAATTCCTTAAAGGTAGCAAAAAATATCCTTTATTTCAAAAGATTATTAATTTCTTATATAAAGATAATAGTTTTAATATGAAATCTTGAACTTTATAAGTTGCTTAGCTTCTATAATCTCTAACTTTTGATGACAAAATCAAATGACTCTTTTGGTAGCTATAACCAAGGATTTGATTTGGAATCAATTTTAGATTCCCTTAGATCAACTTCCTGACTATATCTTCTATTTCTACTAGCAATCAAAAGTCACGAAGTCTTGGTGCACCATGCTTTCTAAACTCCTTTAAGTGGTTTTCTTTTTGTAATCATTTGTACATTAATTCTAATTCTTAGCATAAATTCCACTCTCAACATACCTTTGAGGTTATCTTTTGTTGAAATATCCATGGACAATCCTAACACATAGTTAAGAGAGAAGAAAAAAATAAAAGAGAGGAAGAGGATATTTTAAGGAAAGAAACCATGCTATTTTACCAGAATATATTAAATGCAAGAGATTACATAACCTCAGGCTCTTCCTGTGACCTTCTGTTTATATTTTTTTATAAAGTACGAATGAAATTATATAAGTTATATGTTGAGTTATATGAATAAAAGCATTTCATAATGAGTAGTAAAAAAATACACGATGCATGTGGCTAAGTATATATACCTTGCAATTGGTTATGTGACGTTGCCCTTCTAAGTAATCGTATCTAATGAGTAGCCCCAAAGCTTGGGCGCCAATGAGTGAATTTGGTTTATCTGACAAGCTTGTCTTAAGTTGGGCAAGTTCACCGAAAGTATAGCAAGATTATCTTATGCTAGGCAGCCTCGAGTGTAGATAGTAGGCTAAGTCGAGCTCGTAGCCACTTCAACTAACTTGAGTGCACCCATATAGAGTTGGGTAAGTTCATGCCGTAAGACCTTTAGGTGATTTGGGTGTTTCAATCCATGCCAAAACGTATTCAAATTTATGTTGGATCTTATTCAAACCTTAGTCAAATTTTATTTGAACATTTTTGGAATCTTATTCAAACCTTGATAAATGTTGAGACCATAGAAGTCTTGCTCAAATCCATATCTATTTATATTCAAAACATACTTCGAATTATGTTCTGACTCATTGTTGAACTTTGTTCGATCCTGTTCAACCTTATTAGGATCGATGTACTTGTGTGTTCCTAAACAGCATCTTTTATGTTGTGCTTTTTTACTACAATCCGATTAAAGTCCAACATATCCCATCCTCGCCTAGATCGATGCAGGATTTAACAAAAATTGGGTATATGGGATTTAAACAAAATGGGTAGCTAAGCTAATGTTCCTCTAGATCTAACTCCGATTGACTTGCTCTATTTCCTATTCGTCTGCTTCCCCCGGCCGTTACCGGGAGCTAGATATTATGGCTGGAAATTCTCCTCCGCCATCCAAGACGGCGTCTCTTGACCGCCCTCTTCACGCCGTAGGCTTCGAGTACGACCTGCTCTCGCCGGAAAGGCTCACCGGTCGCCTCACTATCACAGAATCCTGCTGCCAGGCATAGTTTCTCTCTCTGTACTTGTGTTTACCAAATTTTCTCTATTTTTTCTTCTTACGCTTCCAAAGTTGGCGAACCACTTGTTTATCGATCAGCCTTTCAAAGTTCTGCACGGCGGCGTCACAGCTATGATAGCGGAGGGCATGGCGAGCATGGGAGCGTATATCGCCTCTGGCTTTCAGCGCGTCGCTGGGGTCCAGCTCTCCACTAACCATATCAAAGCCGCCCGCCTTGGCGAGCTAGTTCATGTCGAGGCTGTCCCAATTCAGCAAGGTAGAACCATTCAGGTAAATTCTATCAATCCAACTTTGTTTTCGTCATTTAAGGTTGATAGTTAAACTCTCGGACCATTATCAGGAAAATCTCTATGTTACGAGAATCAAGCCTTCAATTTGAAAGTCATAAAAATTGGCACAATTGATAAGAAGATAAAGGTAATGACAAAACATCAGCCCAATAAGGATAAACTGCGGCTAATAGATCTACCATTAACCGTAAGAAGATATTATTAAATAAATCAATCCTTTCTCGATCCTCTTCATTTGTCTACCTAGATCTATGGTATTGTAGAGGACACCTTGGTTTATTCTTATATAATTTTCAGTTGGATCTTTTATAACAACAAAAGCTTGAGGTGCAGACTCGAATTATGGGATCACTTCAGGCACAGTAGCAGATCAAAATCTTCCAAGTATATTCCCAGATAGCACAAGTTGATGGCCGAATTCAACTACTTCGGCTAGACAATTCGGTTGATACAATTCGGCACAGTCCTTTAACTAGATCCATCTGATTCAATTGAGCAGAGTATTAAAGCGTGGCTTAGCCTATTTGTCAGGCAGTTTACATAGTCTCATTCAACAAGTTCGTTTATCAAGCTAACTCGACAAGTTTTTATTTCATCATCTCATTTAGCACTCTGAAAGCATCATCTCATATGATATGCTATACATACCGACATAGCTTTATATTTTCTCGATGTATTTAACTTCATTTTTGTGTAGCCATTTATGTAACTATATCTAGGTGAAACCAACCTAAATTTATAAATAAGGGATGCTATCCATGAGATTGGAGGACGGAAAAAAGTCAATGAGAAATCAAGCTTCCCTTTTTCCTTTTCATTTTTCATATATCATCTTTTCTCCCATTTTAAGTTATTGCCTTAGTGTTCTGAGATCATTTGACAATTTGCTATTCAACAAATCTATGTTATTGCAACATGTCAATTACTATCTTGGTTCTTTATTACTGTTGTTAGATTCAACATTATCTATAGAGATGATCGCCATAACCTTAATAACAAGTTTCAAAAGCTAAAGGTCGAACAACAAGAAAGAAAAATTAAAACTAGAATGAACAGCTCTTGGATTTTATTAAATTGAAAAAGGTATATTACTTGAGTGCAAATGATTTGAGGTATTAAGCGTTCCCCCTAATCTCTTATTTATATGTTTGGATAAAGTTTTGATGCTACCAAAAATGTCACATTTAAGCTATACAAGTAAAAAATGTGTGTAGCAAGAGTTGACAACAATTTCTTGGAAAAATGCTTAAGGTATGTATTCAAAATATATAAAAAATATGCATAGCTTCTGTAATTAAAGTCTTTCCTAGGCTAAGTCAAGGGCCAACTTTATTGGATATTGGCAAGTTATTTTTTTTGCTTGTTGAATTGCTTTTGATATAAAGACGACTAGGCCTAATCGGTCCTTTGGCTGAGTTATGTCTGCTGAGTTTATTATGACTTTAGTAAGTTCATAGTAAATTCGATGAAGTCATGTCGATCTTGACAAGCTCATGTTGGCCTTTGCAACTTCACATTGAACCTAATTTGCTCATAATGACCTTGACAATTTTCTGATTGCCCTGGCGAGTTCATCTAATGCTTTAAATATATAATTTACCTGCTTTGTTCATCAGGTTAGGTGAAACTAACTTTATTTGGTTATGCAAGACATATGGATACATATTAAGTTCTCTTATTCTCTTGTATCTTTAAAAGGACCTAGAAAAGAAACAAGAGAAGAAAAAATATTCTTTCTCTTTTTCTAAAATAATTGCTACGCACATTATTCTCTCTTATGAATGCATGAGCAAGCCAATACATTTTCTATCAAGGAGATTGCTATCACGTGTTAGTGAATTTTTTAAAAGATCTTTTCTAGGACAAGCCATTAGCCATAATGTCTGTTTGTCGGTTCATGTTGGATGGAAACAAGAAATAACTTTTGAGTGATTCTATTACTTTTTCTATATATTTATCAACTTATGAGTTGATCAAGTTGTTGATTCTACAAATCATACTATAGTTGGTGATCATCGGGGGAACTTTATTATAAATTTAAAGATATTATGTTCAAGTATTAACTTCTAAATCCATAGCCTTAGTTTCTTCACCAAAAAAATTTAAAGCATTAAATGTGATGATATTTGTTCTACAAGTTTACTTGAAACTTGAAAAGTTAGCTTAAAGAGCTATAGATTTTTAGCGAAGTTGAGAAAATTTGCTCGAGTAATTTGTTGAAAAGATTTGTGGCTCTCTCTGATCTACTTGACAACAATATTTCAATTATCTATTGATATTAAGTTGAAGTTAAATAATTTGAACAGTGAGTTTACCCTTTTGAGGAGGGTTGCAACTTCTCCAAAAATTAGTCAATCCAATGAACACACCGAGTTCTACTGCATCGCTTTTTCATGGAAGTTCACTTTCTAAACAAGTTAAGTTCGATCATATTGTGCAAGCTTTGTTGGTTGTCCAATATCATCACTTGCAAGCGAGTTCAAAAATATATTGACTAATTGTTTTGAGATTTTGTGCTAAATTTTTTTTGTAACATATATAACTCACTGTGTTAGAGATTATTATATAATAAATGTGTATAATTTGTCTTATTCTTCCTTTTCATTTGTTTATATAAATATTATGTTGAAGTATTAATTTAAAGATATTATGGTGAAGTATTAACTTCTAAATCCATTATCTTAGAAGCCTTAGTATCTCCAACCCAAAAGTTTGAAGCACTAAATGTGATGGTATTTGCTCGACAAATCTACTTAAAACTCGAAAAGTTAGACAACTAAAAGAGCTATAGATTTTTAGCGAAGTTGAGAAAATTTGCTTGAGTAATTTGTTGAAAAGATTTGTGTTTCTCTCTAATCTACTTGACAATATGTCAAGTATCTATTGATATTAAGTCGAAGTTAAATAATTTGAACAGTGAGTTTACCCTTTTGAGGAGGGGTGCAACTTCTCCAAAAATTAGTCAATCCATTGAACACACCGAGTTTTACTTCATCTCTTATTCATTGAGGTTCACTTTCTAAACAAGATAAGATCGATCATATTGTGCAAGCTTTGTTGGGGGTCCAATATCATCACTTGCAGATGAGTTCAAAAATATATTGACTAATTGTTTTAATATTAGATCACGGGTTTAAATGCCCCTCTGGCCAGTTTGCCGGTAGTGAGGGCGGTCTTGGGGCTCGTATAATAGTCTTCGACCATTCTTTACAATATATATATATATATTATATATATATATGATTTGGGTCATAAGTTCACTTCGACTCCATATACACTCGAGTGTAAGCTGACAATTTGATCTCTAAATAGGCTTGTGCGATGCTCTTCATTCCACAAATCATTTTATAAATAGTATTATATTCATTTACTGTATGTTTTCATTGTCTCTCCTCTTCATCTTAACCATGACTTTTCTCTATTCTTAAGTGGAGTTCAACATTGGCAAAGGTATTTCTAACTTTTATGTTGAACCTTTTGAAGGAAAATTTCCCATATACTTCAATCGTGACTGAGTACAACTTTTTGTTGTTGTAAAGAGAATTTGAGTTGAGCGATGATTTTAATGTTCTACTTTTAGATGAAGGCCAATTCCTTGATTCATTGAAATATGACAAGTTATGCTTTTACTTCATTCTATTTCGTATTGGATTGCAACTTCAGTTTTGTTATATAGCACAAATTTTTATTTTACCAAGTTTTATATCATTGCCCAAGTATTTTTGAATATGGAGTCCTTGAGTATAACATGTCAAAAACATTTTTCAGTACTACTTTTACATTAAAAAAAATGTCTACCTAAAATCAAATAAACGTTGAAGAACTTGCTTAAAATTTAATGGTATTACAAAGTTTGCAAATTTTCATCTTTACACGCTATTAAGTTATCAAAAGCATTTCATTTTTGAAATTCTCCTGCTATCTAACTGACTTGGTTTGGATTGACTTTATTTATTTATTTCTTTTTTTATCGTTATTTTGGGTGAACCTGTAAAATGTCCTTAATTTTCTTGCCCTGGTGAATTCTTTCACTAAGTTTCAAGACGTTGACAATCTTTATTATATAGTCATGATCTTTGTGAAAAGCAGGTCCCAAGTTCGGGGTTGTGCGTATAATAAAGGCGACTTGTGAAAGTGTTCTTTACCCTTAGTTGCATTCACTAATTCTATGAATGACACTTGAACTCGATTGTACATAAGATGTCTCTTGGTTATTGTCGATTTATATATAGCTTGAGCTTATAAGTTTGAGTTGTTACATTCAACTTGGCTTTGATGATCCTAATGTGAGTGTTTGTTGAAAGGAAAAATTCCATTTTTTATTAGCTTGATTTCAACACGATACTTATTCAATTAATAATGATGACGTTGTTGTCATTTTCTATGGAATTTTGAATTCTTAGTTTTCTTAAGTCCCCGCATGAATGCATTTTCTGCATTTATACGATTGTTATTGAGTTTCAATACTTTTTCTTTGAAATTTTGGTTGTTGAAATCTTTGTGCATATTTGAACAACAACTTCTTAAGATCTTGTGTTAGCTCAACTAAGGTGACTACAAGTTCTAAATGTCTAAGATTCAACTTCTCGTGTTGTAAATGAATAATAAATTGTTGTAATGGTTCACATAGCTTTTGCTGTGCTTGAGAATTCTTCAACGAATTTTGGGTTCTTGCAACTTTTATAATAAAGAGTCACTTCAACTCTAAAATAATTGTTCTCCATGGTGAAAGTTTTGAGAATCATCTCTATGGTGCTTTTTTAAATATTATGAGAAATGTTAACTCTTTATGTTATCATTAATATCTAATAGTGAAATGATTGATTCAATACATGTTTTGTTAATAGCTAGATTCAACTTTACCCAACATGAATCTAAATGTAGAATTTTAAATTTTGTGGGGATTGTGTCACGACTACTTAAATTTTGGGGAAAAAAAATTATTAATTGAGATTTTTGTTTCCCTATTCACCAAGTTGA